CGTACCATATTCCTTCTTGCTTTCTTTGTTCCAGGTGTACTGGTTCTTTTTCAGGACTCTGTACTCACTATCTTCTCTTCTACCAGGGGTCTTTGTGCTTGTACTTTTATCTGCTTGGAATGTTTATATTTCCTTATTTAGCTTTTATTCCTAGACTTCCTTAGAGCTATTCTCAAGCACCACTTATCTTTTTCTTTGAATTTGAAAATTTTCTTTAAAAAAGTAAAAAGAGTTCAGTGAACCTTTCCCCTCATATATCCTTTACCCAGCTTCAAAAAATATCACAATTTTTTTAATAGAAAGGTTTTCTTGGCCTCAGAAACTCTTCAAATCACCCTATGAAAATTAAGGCTGTGCTATTAAGTAACTTGAGAACTGCACTGGTGTCTATCAAAGAGTGGATATTAACTAAACAGTTGTTAAGTTTTAATTGCATTTCTTCAGTCTCATACTGTATGATTGCGGGTTCAAAGAAGAAGAAATATGTCTTCTAGACATAAATAAGAGACATGTCTTAGTAACCTGACATGCAATTTGTGTGATGCAGCTAAAGCAATGCTGAGCTTTTTATGGCACTAAATGTGTACATCAGAAAAGAGGAAAAGTCTCAAATTAATAGTCCATGATCTCACATTTAAAAACTAGACAAACAGCACAATAATCCTAACAGAAGCAAAAGTAAAAAGTAGAAATCAATTAAATTAAAACCAAAAAACAAAAAGAAAAACCAATGAGAGAAAAAGCTGGTTGACTGAAAAGAGCAGTAACATTGTAAAACCTCTAGGAAGAGTGAATAAAAAAATAAGCGAGTAAGAAGACAGAAATGACCAATATAAAGAATAAAACAGGTCTATAAATACAGATCCTAAAGACATTAAAATGATAATAATGGAATGGTCTGAACATTTTTATACATATAAATGTGACAACTTATATAAAATGTACTAATTGTTAGAAAAGCAAAAATACCAGAATTCACCTAATAGAATTAATTTGAATATCCATATACATGACTTAAAGAAACTGATTTGTAAAACTCACCAAAAAGAAGTCCCTAGGCCCAGATGGTTTCACTAGATAACTCTACCAAACATGTAATGAAGAATAAACACCACTTCTATACAACCTCTTCCAGAAAATTGGAAGGAACACTTTCCAACTAATTTTATGAGGCCAGACTTATGCTGATATGAAAACCAGACAATGGTAGTACAAAACTACAGACCAATTTCTCTCATAAATGCAAAACTACTTAACAAAATATTTCAAATAGAATCAAATGATAAATAAAAAGAATTATATGACATTACCAAGTAAGGTTTATTCCAAATATGTAAGGCTGGTTCAATATTTGAAAACTAGTCAACAAAGTCTACTATATTAATGGAGTAATGAAGAAAAATCATGTAATCACAGCAGTATATACATAAAAAGTATTTGACAAGATTCAATATCCATTCATAGTCAATATTCTCAGAAAACTAGGAATACAGTAGAAGTTCCACCATTTGAAGAAGAATATCCACAAAGGACCTGCTAGGATCATTTGGTGAAAGAGATGCTTTCCCCTGAAAGTTGGGAACAAGGCAAGGATGACTACTCTCACCACTCTTACTTTAGACAGTATTAGAACTCCTAGCCAGTGTAATATGGCAAGAAAAGGAAATAAAAGGCATATAGATTAGAAAGGAAGATAGTAAAATGACCCTATATATAGATCACATGATAGCTTATGTTAAAAATCAGAAGGAATCTACAAAAAGCCTTCCTAGAAAGTTCAGCAAGATCTCAGCATAAAAGAACAAACATACAAAAATCAATTACATTTCTATAAACTAGCAACCTTTGCACGCAAACAGAAATTTAAAACACAATGCCATTAACAATTATCCAACCAAATGAAATACTGAGGTATACATATAACATGTACAGGACTTTTATACTGAAAACTACAAAACACTGAAGCAAGAAATCAAGATCTTTTTTTATTTTATTTATTTATTTTTTGAGACGTAGTCTCGCTCTGTCGCCCAGGCTGGAGTGCAGTGGCCAGATCTCTGCTCACTGCAAGCTCTGCCTCCCGGGTTTACGCCATTCTCCTGCCTCAGCCTCCTGAGTAGCTGGGACTACAGGCGCCTGCCACCTCGCCTGGCTAGTTTTCTGTATTTTTTAGTAGAGACGGGGTTTCACCTTGTTAGCCAGGATGGTCTCGATCTCCTGACCTCGTGATCCGCCCGTCTCGGCCTCCCAAAGTGCTGGGATTACAAGCTTGAGCCACCGCGCCCAGCCAAGAAATCAAGATCTAAGTAAATGGAGAAATATCTTGTGCTTATGGATTATAAGACTTAAAATAAGACTCAAAGCAGTAAAGATGTTAACTGTCACAAAATTGAAAATTTATAGCTTTAATTCCTGTCAAACACTCAATAAGATTTTAACATAATGAAATTATTACATTATGTATATGCAAAGGCGAAGTAACTAGAATAGCTAAAACAATATTGAAAAAGAAATATAATGTGGGAATATAACAGTCTCATACAAGTACAGTCAACTGATTTTTGACACAGGTGAAAAAGCTATTCAATGAAGGGTAATGGTGCTGCATGGAGCAAATGGATATCCATAGGCAAAAAAAAAAAAAAAAAAATCTCAACTTACACTTCATGCCCTATACAAAAATTAACTCAAAATGCACTATAATTAAAATGTAAAATATATCACAGAATTTTTAAAAATAGGAGGAAATCTTTGGTCCAAAGACTTAGTGAAGAGTTCTTAGATACAACAAAATTTTTACAAAACTGATAAACTGGACTTCACCAAAATTAAAAACTTATGCTCTTCAAAACATCCCACGAAGACGATGAAAAGACAAGTTACAGATTGGTATAAAAATGTGCAAACCACACATCTGATAAAGAACTCATATCTAGACTATCTAATTTCTCAAACGTCAATGGTAAAACACACAAACTTCCAATTAAAAAATGGACAAAAGCCATGAACAGACATTTTACTAAGGATACACAGATGGCATGTGAACACATGAAAAGATATTGATTATCAGTAGCCATTAGGGAAATGCAAATTAGGATCACTATGAGATATCACTATATACCTATTCAACCACTAATATATAAAATAGCAACAATGCCTAGAACTAGAACGGATAGGGAATAACTGGATCCCTCATACATTGCTGGTAGAAATGCAAAATGGTACAGCAACTCTGGGAAATAGTTTGGCACTTTCTTAAAGAATAAAACATAACTTACCATACAATCCAACAATCACACTCTTTGGTACTTATCCCGGAAAAACTTACGTTCACAAAAAATCTGAACATGAATGTTCACATCAACTTTATAATAGCCCCAAACTGGAAACAAACAAAATGTCCTTGAATAGGTGAATGGCTAAACAATGATATTCATATAGTGAAATACTACACAGCAATAAAAGGAATGAACTATGGATACACAACAACATGGATCTCAAGAGCATTATGCTGAGTGAAAAAGGCAATCTCAACACATCAAATACTGTATGATTCCATTTATATAACAGTCTCAAAATGACAAAATTATACAGCTAGCAGATTAGCAGTTAGCAGAGATTAGGGAAAATGTGAGAGACGGCATGGGTGTGACTATGAATGAGTAGCACCAAAGAGATCTTTGCGCTGATAGAACAGTTTTGTATTGCAACTGTGGTGGTTACACCAATGTCCACATGTGATAAAATGGCACACAGCTATTCACACACATTGTGCCAGTGTCTACTTCCTGGTGTTGATACTGTAGTATAGTTATATAACATGTAACCTTTGGGGGAAACGAAGGTGAGGACACAGTTTTTGCTAATTCCCATAAATCTATAATTATTTCAATATAAAAAAAGGTTTCTTAAAATATATGCAAAAAATTAAAAACTGAAAACATTTTCTCTTTAAAAAGAGAAGTTAGAGATAGCAAGAAAAAGTCTATAAAACATATATCTAATAAAGGTCTGAACTTCTTCGGCTAAACAAACAAAAATACTAAAAACTAAATGAAACAAAAATGAGCTAAAGATTTGACTGGTCACTTAAAGAAGACTTATGAATGGCTGAAAAGCATATAAAAAGAGGTTCAATGTTGTTAGTCATCAGGAAAATGCAAATTAAAACCCAACTAGAATTGTTAAAAACAGTAAAATTTTCCAAATAATGGTAACCAAAGAGTAATGAGAACTCACAGACATTGTTCATGAAAATGAAAAACTGTGGAGCCAGTTTGAAAACATTTGGCAGTTTCTTATAAAGTTATAGACAGATAAACTTATCAGAAGACCTGGCAAGCCCACTCCTAGGTACTTACACAAGAGAAATGAAAACATGTTGACACAAAGACTTGTATGTGAAAGTTCACAGCAGCTTTATTCATAAAAGCACCAACTGGGAAAAAATTCCGTATGTTGACCAACTGATAAAGGATAACAAATTGCAGTATATGCCCACAAAGGGACACTACTTAGGATAAAATAATAAACCACTTATACACACATGTGCATAAGTTTCAAAAGCATTATGCTAAAGAAAACCAGACAAAAGGGAGTATATAATTTATGATTCCATTTATATGAAATTGGAGAAAAGGCAAAATTATTACAATCGAAAGCAGACAAATAGCTGCCAGGGGTTGTGGGGGAAGGGATGGAGGGAGGGGACTCACTGCAAAGGGCTACAAAGAATCTTTTGGGGGTGATAAAAAGATTCCAAACCATGATTTGGATTGTAGTAATCAATTGTATACATTTTTAAAAACTCATTGATTTGTACACTGAAAGGTTCTGAATTTTATTTTCTGTTAAATACACCTCAATAAAAGTAACTAATATAAAAAAGGAAAACCAGAATTGCACTGTAGAGGGAGTCACACGGTACGATACGGCGAGAGAGAAAGAGAGGAGAAACAGAACTGCCCTCTGGAGGGAACCTCATGGTAAGCTGTGCTCACCCACTGAGACGAGGTGGCTGTAGTTCTCCAGCATCACATCTCTGTACAGGGTCCTCTCAACAGGGCCCATGTGCTGCCACTCCTCCTGGGTAAATTCCACAGTCACGTCCTTGAATGACACTGATGCCTGTAACAGTGCATTTCTGATTAATCTGAGTGTTCAGAATCAGGGAAAGGAAAATGTTTTCGGAAACTGACTCATTATGTTTACTGTTGAGAATTTAAAACAAAATGCTACAAGGGATTATTATTATGGCCCTAATTCTGCCTTATTCTTTTGAAATGCATAATTAGCACAAATATTTGTTCTCATGCTCTCATTTGTATTTATTTTAAAATTATACACATACATTTTTATTTAATATACTGAGGAAGCTTAGTGCCCTTTTAGGTAAAATTATTATAAATATGATTCCTGCATACATTTCCCATGGTGCAATCTTGGCTGACTGCAACCTCCACATTCCTAGGTTCAAGCAATTCCCCTGCCTCAGCCTCCCAAGTAGCTGGGACTACTGGCGTATGCCACCACACTGAGCTAGCTTTTTGTATTTTAGTAGAGATGGGCTTCACCATGTTGGTCAGGATGGTCTCAATCTCCTGACCTCATGATCCGCCTGCCTCAGCCTCCCAAAGTGCTGGGATTACAGGTGTGGGCCACAGTGCCTGGCCGGGAAGTGAATCTTCACAGGAATGAAAATCTGTTCATTATTATCTCATGCAGCTATACACAGAGATGTGGCATGATATATAACACAAAAAAGCTCAAAAAGCTAAGAAAAAATAATTAAAAGAAATGAACAAAGTCTCCAAGAAATATGAAATTATATAAAATGACCAAACCTAAGAATAATTGATATTTTTGAGGGAGAAGAGAAAAAACTCTAGAAAAATTATTTGAGGAAATAATTGAGGAAACTTCACTGACCTGGCTAGATATTTACATATCCCAATGTAAGAAGGTCAAAGAACTCTTGGAAAATTCACGGCAAAAAGATCTTCACCAAAGCATATAGTCATCAGGCTGTCTAAAGCCAATATGAAGGAAATAATTCTAAGAGCACTAAGATAAAACCATCAGGTAACCTATAAAGGAAAATTTATCAGACTAACAGCAGACCTCTAAGCAGAAATCTTATAAGCAAGAAGGGATTGGGGGTCCTATCTTCAACCTCTTTAAACAGAGTACCTGTCAGCCAAGAATTCTGTATCCAGCAAAACTAAGTTCCATAAATAAAGGAGAAATAAAGTCATTTCAGACAAACACATGCTGAGGGAATTTGTCGTTACCAAACCAGCACCATGAGAAATGCTAAAAACCTAGAGGAAGTGAATAAATTCCTGGAAACATACAACACTCTGAAATTAAATCAGGAAGAAATTGAAACCTTGAATAGACAACAAGTAGAGAGATTGAATCAGTAATTAAAAAATTTGAAAATTGCCAACAACAACAAAAAGCCCGGGACCAGAAGGATTCACAGTTGAATTCTACCAGATATTCAAAGAACTGATCCCAATCCTCCAGAAACTATTCCAAAAGACTGCAAAAGAGGGAATCCTCCCTAAATCATTCTATGAAGCCAGTATCACCCTGCTAGCAAAACCAGGAAAAGATACAACAAAAGAAACAACAGACCAATATCCCTGATGAACACGGATACAAAAATCCTCAACAAAACACTAGCTAACTGAATACAATAGCACATCAAAAAGCATATCATGATTAGGTGGGTTTCACCTCAGGGATGCAGGGATGGTTTAACACATGCAAGTAAACAAATGTGATACATGACATAAAAACAACAAAAAACAAAAATCACATAATCATCTCAATAGATGCAGAAAAAGCATCTGACAAAATCCAGCATGCCTATATAATAAAAACTCTCAAGAAACTAGGCATAGCGGGAACTTACCTCAAAATAATAAAAGCCATATGTGACAAGCCCACAGCCAGCACCATATTGAATGGGGAAAAGCTGAAAGCACTCCCCCTGAGAACAGGAACAAGACAAGGATGCCCACTTTCACCACTCCTGTTCAACATACTTCTGGAAGTCCTAGCCGGAGCAATTAGTCAAGAGAAAGAAATAAAGGGCATCCAAACTGGAAAAGAAGAAGTTAAACTACTGCTGTTGGCAAATGATGTGATCACATACCTAGAAAATCCAAGACTCCCCTGAAAGACTCCTAGATTTGATAAATGAATTCAGTAAAGTCTCAGGGTACAAAATCAATGTAAACAAATCAGTAGCAATGCTATACCAACAACAACCAAGCTAAGAATCAAATCAAGAACTCATTTTCTTTGACAACAGCTGCAAAAACAAACAAACAAACAACAAACGAAAACAAAAAAACACCTAAGAAGATACTTAACCAAGGAGGTGAAAGATCTCTACAAGGAGAATTACATAACCCTGCTGAAAGAAATCACAGATGACACAAATGGAACACATCCCATGCTCATGGATTGGAAGAATCAATATTGTGAAAATGACCATTCTGCCCAAAGCAATCTACAGATTCAATGCAATTCTCATCAAAATACGAACATCTTTTACAGAATTAGAAAAAACAATCCTAAAATTCATATGGATAAAAAAGAGCCCAAATAGCTAAAGCAATCCTGAGCAAAAATAACAAATCTGGAGGCATCACCATACCAGACTTCAAATTATGCTACAAGGCTATAATTTCCAAAACAGTATGGTACTGGTATAAAGGCAGGCACATAGACCAATGGAACAGAATAGACAACCCAGAAATAAAGCCAACTGATCAGTTGACTGTACAAAACATAAACAGGGGAATGGACATCCTATTTCAGCAATCCCCAACCTTTTTGGCACCAGGGACTGGTTTCCTGGAAGACAATTTTTCCATGGACCAGCGGTGGAAGGGTGGGGATGGTTTCAAGATTAAACTGATCCACTTCAGATCATCAGGCATTAGATTCTCATAAGGAGCACGCAACCTAGATTCTTTGCATGTACAGTTCACAATAGGGTTCGCTCTCCTGTAAGAATCTGATGCTGCTGATCTGACAGGAGGTGGAGTTCAGGTGGTAATGCTTACTGGCCTGCTGCCCACCTCCTGCTGTGCCATTCCATTGCTAACAGACCAGTACCAGTCAGTGGCCCCGTGGATTGGGGACCCCTGACCTGTTTAATGGTGCTGGTGAAAGTGGCAAGCCACATGTAGAATAATGAAACTGGATCCCTATCTCTCACTTTATACAGATATCAACTCAAGATGGATCAAAGACTTAAATCTGTGACCTGAAACCATAGAAATTCTAGAAGACAACATTTGAAAAACTCTTCTAGACATCAGCCTAGGCAAAGAACTCATGACTAATACCCCAAAAACAAATGCAACAAAAACAAAAATAAATTAACTGGACCTAATTAAACTAAAAAGCTTCTACACAGCAAAAGAAATAATTACCAGAGTAAACAGCCAACCCACAGAATGGGAGAAAGTATTTACAAACTAGACATCTGACAAAGTATCCAGAATTTACAAGGAATTCAAATAAACCAGCAGGAAAAAAAAATAATCCCAACAAAAAATGGGCGAAGGCCATGAATTGTCATTTCTCAAAAGAAGATATACAAATGTCCAATAAACATATGAAAAAAATGCTCAACATCGCTAATCATCAGGGAAACGCAAATTAAAACCACAATGAGATACCACTTTACTCCTGCAAGAATGGCCCTTATTAAAAAGTCAAAACACAAGGGATATTTGCATGGATGTGAAGAAACGGGAATGCTTATACAATGGTGGTAGGAATGTAAATTAGGACAACTTCTATGTAAAAAGTATGGAGATTCCTTAAGGAACTAAAAGTAGATCTACCATTCCATTTAGTAATCCCACTACTGGGTATCTATCCAAAGGAAAAGAAGTCACCATCAATGAAAAAGAAACCAGCACACATGTTTGTGGCAGCACAATTCACAATTGCAAAGATGTGGAACCAACCTAAGTGCCCATCAACTAAGTGGATAAAGAAAATGTGGTACCTATACACTATGGAATACTACTTAGCCATAAAAAGGAATGAAATAATGTCTTTTGCAGCAACTTGGGTGGAGCTGCAATTCTAAGTAACACAGGAGTAGAAAACCAAACCATATGTTCTCACTTATAAGTGGGAGTTAAGTTATGAGTATGCAAAGGCATAGAGTGACATAATGGACTTTAGAGACCAAGAAGTGGGAGGGTGGGAGGCTAGGTAAAGGCGCTAGGGATAAAAAACTACCTATAAGGCACAATGTATACTACTTGTCAGGCCATGGGTGCACTAAAATCTCAGAATTCACCACTATAAAATTCATCCATGTAACAAGATGAATCCATGTAACAAGAAACCACTTGTACCCCAAAAGCTAATGAAATAAAACATTTTAAAGAAATGTTTTTAAGTATAAAGAAAAGACAGCATTCATTATGATTATTTTAGTCTTGCTCTTTCATTTTAGTTAAGGCCTGTCTTGACTTCTTTTACACCCTGGGATAGTAAAATACATAAAACAAAATGTAAAAGTAAAATGTTCAGAATCTTAGTTGAAAATTTCAAATACATTTTATGTTAAAATTGAAAATTTTTCTAGTTTTAGTAAACATACATTATGAAAACTTTTTCATCTTAATAAATATATCTAAGTACAGTGCTAAGTAAGAAGGCAAGTTGCATCTTCAGTGTCAAAGTGTATTAGCACGAGGATGGCAAGGTGGTGTGAAAATTATAATAAATTTTTATAATTTGTGTATGCAAGGTGGTTTTTAAAATAAAATATCTTAGTAGCTCATTTTATTTTCCTTTCAGTTTATACCGTGTCTCTGTACATTTATAAGTGAATGCATACTGACAAAGACAAATCTTGTTTGATAATGGTTAACCAACAATAAACACTTCCTAAATCTAAAAAAAATAAGCAAAAACACAAATATTAATGATTACAATTTTCTATGAAAATGTAATGACAAAAATTATATTGAGAAAGTACAAATCCAGTATAAGCTTATAAGAAGTTGAGTAATGAATTAATAAATTTATTCAATAATCAAAATCTTCCCATAGAAAGTCTTCACAAGGTCCAAATTCATAGGTGAGTTTCACAAAATCTACATATAACACAATTTTCTCATTTTTCTAAATTATTAGAAAAGAAGAAACAAGAAAAAGTGCCCCATTTCCTTTCATGAGACAACCATGGTACCCTAACTGAACAGGGAAACAGGAAAATACAGTTTAATCCAATTTGTGAACACAGAAATAAAAATCCTGCATTATTACCAAAAAGTGCTAGGAAAACATGTAAGCAGCAAGTTACTACACTCATTAGCAACTAGGGTCTATACAGGAATTCAAGTTACTTTTTGAAAATCCATTATATTATTCACAATATTTATAGACTCATTAAACGACATAGCTATAGATTTATTCTAATAGACATACAAAAAGCATTTAATATAATTCAATGTGCATTCATAACTAAGATGAGATCTTGGCAAACTGGTAACTGGAGGGAACCTACTAACCCTGACAAAGATTATTTACCAAAAGCTGACAGCAAACAAAAGAGTTCATGGTAAAACTGTATATATTTTCCCTCAAGATTTACTCGATCTATTTCTCCTTTTCCATTTAACGCAAGGACCTCATAAATCCATGACAATACAAAGTGTGGAATGAATAAAGAGCTTACCTGAAATGTGTTCATTTTCTGTGGCTCTTGGGAGAGTGTAGAGAACTGTGAAGCCTCAGCTGGGGGGACAGAAAGAGGAGGTCACACGGTCTGGCCTACCTCACAGCTCCTAGATTCACCTCCCCAAATCTCAGCAACCCAGTTGGGGAGCAGCCTTCCTAAGGTAACACGGCCTTTCAGGCCTTGAAAAGGCATGAGAAGCACCACGTAGAGTTGGCTGTCTCTACGACAACTCTGAAATAATTTTGGGGCTTAAACTTCTATTTTTTATTGAGTGAACATAAACTTTTCCCAGTTGATTTAACAATAATGCACATGTGCTTTTAACTCACACAAAGAAATAAAGACAATAGAGGATTAGTTGAACTAAAGTACACCACAGGATAAGACACTATTCTTTCACTAAAATTAACTTAGCAGGCACCATGGTTCACGCCTGTAACCCCAGCACTTTGGGAGGCCAAAGAGGGAGGATGGCTTGAGCTCAGGAGTTCAAGACCAACCTGGGCAACATGGTATGACCCTGTCTCTACAGAAAATAAAAACTTAAAAAATTAGCCAGGTGTGGTAGCATGTGCCTGTGGTCCCTGCTACTTGGGAGGCTGAGGCAGGAGGAGGGTCACCTGAGCCCAGGAGGTAGAGGCTGCAGTCAGCCATGTTTGTGCCACTGCACTCCTGCCTGGACAACAGGATGAGACTGTCTCTAAAACACTAAATTAACAGAAAAATATTCAGTGTGCATCATTTAATTATTTTTCTTAGTAATACTGTTTACCCTTGGTATAGACAACCCACAGAAAGTCTTGTAAAAGAGATGAGATACTTTAAGGCAAAGAGTTTTAGATGTTTTAACTGGGATGTATTTCTCAAAAGGCCCTTTGGATAAGATGTTTTTGGTGACTTACCTGTGAAAGAATGAACGGAACTGTTTTCCTCCTGGCCCTGCCACAAACGAGGGGTCCCTGGAAACTCACTGAACCTTTCATGCCCAATGTCTTTAAAGCTTTCAAAAGAATCAGAAGTAGATAACCACAGAAAACCCTTCATGTATGATCATTCTGGGATACTCCAGTGTCACATACGTGTTAACAGCAGTATGGCATCTGTAAAGAGTAGAGAACAAAGGGACTGGGGGCTACTTTGGGATCTGGGGACAGACTCTCTGGTTACCCCTACCCCCAGACCTCTGCAATGATGTGGCCTTTCCTGAGCAGCCTGTCCCTGGCCCCCACCCAGCTCATTTTGCTCTTCTCAAAGCTGGCCCAAACCACCCACTGTCACCCATTCTGTGGTGGCTTCTGGAGGCTTCACCACCAAGTCTGGCTCTATCTGGGAAGTAGGATCAAGAACTGCTTCTGACCATACACATCTAGGATCTGCTCCTCTGTGGGCTCTTCTGCCTCTGCTCTGAAGCTCGGGAGGAAGGTCTAGGTCTGAGAGGGGTTCTCTTTCAGGTAAAACTGTTCACAGAGGCCCCTGCTTCCCGAGTCGCAAAGGCTGCTCCGTTCAAGGAGCCTGCGACCTGACCTGAGAAACCATGTTAGTGCCAAAAATCTGACTCTTAGAATTCATTATATCAGACTTAAAAGAGAGACACCCTGACGATGCAGAAGGGGCCAAGAACCTGTCTGACCCAAGAGATCTGAGGACACACCAGAAATCCAGACGACATTTGACACATGGTAAGATTCCATCTACATCCACTCCCTGAGTATTTGGGGACATGCCATTCTGCTAAGTGCTGTGAAGGCTGCAATGCTGGTTATAGGCAGGTGTGATATTAGCGCCTGAAACGGGAAATAAATCACACGTGCCCTTGAACCCCAGCTCCCTCACTGCTAGCTTGTGACCTGAGCCTCAGTTGTTATATTTAATGCAGATGTGGTTGTGAGGTTTACATAAGGCACCCAATGAACAGAACAAAGTCTCTTCTAAATATAACAGCAGCAGTCGCTCATGGCTTAGCAGCCTACGGTCGGCTGTTTGCTTTACAGGTGGTGACATAAAGTTTTAAAACAACGCCATGAAGCAGTCATTATTAATACCCTCATTTTCAGATGAGAAACCTGACTCTCATCCAGGTCCCTGCATTCGCCTAGGCTTGCAGGTGACAGAGCTGGAACTTACCCGGGTTTTTCCAGCTCCAGAGCTCGGGGTCTCGATGCAGACGCACCGTCCGGAGATTTCGGGCACGTTGTCGCCTGCGTTACAAATGCGCTTTCCCCTCCCGCCGCCGCTCGCGCCAGGCTCCTGTCCCGCACACCGCGGCCCGCACCCGGCACCTGCTCCCGACCCGCGCTCAGCCCCAGCCGCCCCGGGAGCCAGTGGCCGGGGTCCCTCTCCACCGGCCGGGAAGGCCGAGGGCCCGCCCGGTCGCATCCACTGACACTGGGGGCGCGGATCCCACGAACTTCCCGCTTCCTCTCCCACTCCCGGGCACAAACGCGGCCCTCCCGCCCCAGCTGCGCCCCCTCTACTTTGCGAGCCGACCGCAGAGCTTCCCAAACCGCTTCCCGGGAGTCCCGAGAACTCAAATGAGGCGGCCGGGCTTCGGCTGCACAGGCGCAGAAGGAGCCCAGTAGCCCCATCCCAGAGTGCTGCGCGGCGAACCAGACTCGTTCAGGACTACATTTCCCATAAGCTCTTGCGTCCGCTTTCGCCATGACTCCTCACGTTTCGGCGATTCAGAACTGGCGGGGTGGAGTTTTTATGAAGAGTCTCCTCTCAGGCTCTCTAAGAACAGGGAGAAGTTAAAGGTTAAAACTTTAACGCTACTGACAAATATAAAGAGTAGCCCTCCATTGGTTCCCGGTTGAACCAGCATTTTTTTTTTGCATAAGACTTTCGGAGACAATTGGGAAGCTGAATACGGATTGGGAATTGCAAATATTGAAAAAAAGTACCATTACTTTTGTGAACTGTGAAAAAAGATTAAGAATTTTGCAGAAAAATTGATTTTTTTAAAAAAGGAATCACTACTGAAGTATTTAGCATTGAAATGATATAACTTTTAATTTACTTTACAATTTTATACATTTTCAACCTGGAACCTCCACCTTGTCTCTTCAGAGCCCACCGGACCCTGTCCTGGCGCCCCCAGGCGTGAGGGTTCTAAGGCGGGTCAAGCCCATTGCTGCAGGTGTTAGAGAAAAGCTTTTGGTTTTTTTCCCCTAACATTGCTTCTTGCCGAATTCTCTTATTGTTTCAATATATTTAAATTTAATGTTAATTATCTTAGGTTTCCATGCTCATAACGACTTTTCTTGCTTTTTGCTGATTTTTAAAAAAAAAATCTCCATTGGTTATTGGGGAACAGATGGTGTTTGGTCACATGAGTAAGTTCTTTAGTGGTGATTTGTGAGATTTTGGTGCACCTATCATCTGAGCAGTATACACTGCACCCTATTTGTAGTCTTTTATCCTTTGCGGCCCCCCCCCACCATTCCCCCCAAGTCCCCAAAGTCCATTGTGTTATTCTTATGCCTCTGCATCCTCATAGCTTAGCTCCCATTTACGAGTGAGAACATACGATGTTTGGTTTTCCACTCCTTAGTTACTTCACTTAGGATAATAGTCTCTAGTTTCATCCAGGTGGCTGCAAATGCCATTAATTCATTCCTTTTTATGGCTAAGTAGTATACCATCATATATATACCACAGTTTCTTTATCCACTTGTTGACTGATGGGTATTTGGGTTGGTTCCACGTTTTTGCAGTTGCAAAATGTGCTGCTATAAACATGCATGTGCAAGTATCTTTTTCATATAATGACTTCTTTTCCTCTGGGTAGATACCCAGTAGTGGGATTGCTGGATCAAATGGTAGTTCTACTTTTAGTTCTTTAAAGAATCTCCACACTGTTTTCCATTGTGGTTGTACTAGTTTACATTCCCACCAGCAGTGTAGAAGTTTTCCCTGTTCACTGCAGCCATGCCAACGTCTACTATTTTTTGATTTCTTGATTATGGCCATTCTTGTAGGAGTAAAGTGGTTTTGATTTGCGTTTCCCTGGTCATTAGTGATGTTGAGCATGTTTTCATATGTTTCTTGGCCATTTGTGTATCTTTTTTGAGAATTGTCTATTCATGTCCTTAGCCCACTTTTTGATGGGATTGTTTGTTTTTTTCTTTGATGGGATTGATTTGCTTGAGTTCGTAGTAGATTCTGGATATTAGTCCTCTGTCAGATATATAGATTGTGAAGATTTTCTCCTACTCTCTGTGGGTTGTCTGTTTACTCTGTTGACTGTTCCGTTTGCTGTACAAAAGCTATTTAGTTTAAGTTCCAGTTATTTATTTTTTGTTTTTATTGCATTTGCTTTTGGATTCTTGGTCATGAAATCCTTGCGTAAGCCAATGTCTAGAAGGGTTTTTCCGATGTTATCTTCTAGAATTTTTATCGTTTCAGGCCTTAGAATTAAGTCCTTAATCCATCTTGAGTCAATTTTTGCATAAGGTGAGAGATCAGGATCCAGTTTCATTCTCCTACATGTGGCTAGCCAATTATCCCAGGACCATTTGTTGAAAAGGGTGTCCTTTCTCCACTTCATGTTTTTCTTTGCTTTGTTGAAGATCAATTGGTTGTAAGTATTTGGGTTTATTTCTCGGTTCTCCATTCTGTTCCACTGGCCTATGTGCCTATTTTTATACCAGTATCATGCTGTTTTGGTGACTGTGGCCTTATAGTATAGTTTGAAATCAGATAATGCGATACCTCTAGATTTGTTCTTTTTACTTAGTCTTGCTTTGGCTATGTGGGCTATTATTTGGTTCCATATGAAGTTTAGAATTGTTTTTTCTAGTTCTGTGAAGAATGATGATGGTATTTTGATGGGAATTGCACTGAATCTTTCGATTGCTTTTGGCAGTAGGTCATTTTCACAATATTGATTGTATGCATCCACGAGCATGGGGTGTGTTTCCATTTATTTGTGTCATCTATGATTCCTTTCAGGAATGTTTTGTGGTTTCCAGCAGCATATCAAAAAGACAATCCACCATGTTCAAGTGAGTTTCATACCAGGGTTGCAGGGATGTTTTAACATATGCAAGTCAATAAATGTGATACACCACATAAACTGAATTAAAAACAAAAATCACGTGATCATCTCAATAGACACAGGAAAAACATTTGACAAAATCTGACATCCTTTTATGATTAGAACCCTCAGCAAAATCTGCATGCAAGGGATATACCTCAGTGTAATAAAAGCCATCTATGGCAGACCCACAGCCAACATAATACTGAATTGGGGAAAAGTTGAAAGCATTCCCCCTGAGTACTGGGATGGCAAGGATGCCCACTCTCACCACTTCTATGCAACATAGTACCGGAAGTCCTAGCCAGAGCAGTAAGATAAGAGAAAGAAATAAAGGACATCCAGGCTGAGCGCGGTGGCTCACGCTTGTAATCCCAGCATTTTGGGAGGCCAAGGCAGGACGATCACATGGTCAGGAGATCGAGACCATCCTGGCTAACACGGTGAAAACCTGTCTCTACTAAAAATACAAAAAATTAGCCGGGCATGGTGGTGGGTGCCTGTAGTCCCAGCTACTTGGGAGGCTGAGGCAGGAGAATGGCATGAATCTGGGAGGTGGAGGTTGCAGTGAGCCGAGATCGCACCACCGCATTCCAGCCTGGGCGACAGAGCAAGACTGTGTCTCAAAAAACAAACAAACAAAAACAACAACAGAAAAAAACCCCAAAAAACAACAAAAAAGGACATCCAGGTCAGTAAAGAAGAAATCAAACTGTTGCTGTTTCCTGATGATATGATCGTATACCTAGAAAACACTATAGACTCCTCCAAAAAGCTCCTAGAACTGATCAATGAATTCAGCAAAGTTTCAGGATACAAAATTAATGGACACAAATCAATAGCTCAGCTCTACACCAACAGCGATCAAGCTGAGAACCAAACCAAGAACTTAAGCCCTTTTGCAATAGCTGCTAAAAAAATAAAATAAAACAAAACACTTAGGAATACACCTAACCAAGGAGGTGAAAGACCTCTACAAGGAAAACAACTTCAGTATTTTTAATGGGTTAAAATGAGAGGCAGCAGGTACAGTGGAAGAAGTCAGTGGGTAGGCATTGGTGTCCAACAGGTACTGGACCTTTGATGGTAAGGCATTGGTTTTGACTTACTAGATTACTAGGTATGATTATTTTCTAGTTTTTGTTATTAAACCTTAAGACTGCTAAGTAACTCCTTCCATTTCTTGTTAAAGATTGGAAAATTTCATACTCTGTTATCTACACTGACTGAATGAAGTTAGAGTATTTGTTCCTATTTTGTGACTACCTTAAATAATACCTATAAATAGTAAACTGTTAGTAGTGTTTTTGCTGTAATTAAATGTAGTAAGACTTATCTTCCAAAGTATAACTGAATTACTTTGTCAAACATTTGTTGAACTTTTTGATTTATCCAAAATTCTATGCTCTGCAGCTGGAGGTAGGAAGAGTAAGGGCCCTCCCTTCCATGGAGAGGCATACTTTCTTAAGAGGGGAACACTCTGCAAGAATTAGTATCATGTAACAGGTGGTGAATTTGACCAAATAGTGTACAAAAACCATTTTTTGGTGTGGCTCCTGGCAAAGAGATTCAAGAGGGTAGACGGAGTCAAGCTTGCTGAAACAAGGAAAGAGAAAAGAAGTATTCTAGGCAGAAAGCAGGAGTGTAGCAGGAAAATGCCTAGGTGCCGGTCAAATGATTCATAGAATGAAATTAATCAGTGTTTGAAATGAATGGAAAGTATTCTCTGAGAGTCTCACTTGAGTAATGTCATGGCAGTCTTATGTAAACATGAAGTGAAAGTTACATTTTTTAAGTTGTCTTTGTCATCTGTTTTTAGGGTGTGTGAGAGAATACTAAAGTGATACTCTTTTTATCCTCCACATAAGAAAACTGGACTAAAGAAACTGATGGCTGGCCGGGCGCGGTGGCTCAAGCCTGTAATCCCAACACTTTGGGAGGCCGAGACGGGCGGATCACGAGATCAGGAGATGGAGACCATCCTGGCTAACACGGTGAAACCCCGTCTCTACTAAAAAATACAAAAAACTAGCCAGGCGAGGTGGCGGGGCCTGTAGTCCCAGCTACTCGGGAGGCTGAGGCAGGAGAATGGCGTAAATCCGGGAGGCGGAGCTTGCAGTGAGCCAAGATCTGGCCACTGCACTCCAGCCTGGGCGACAGAGCGAGACTCTGCCTCAAAAAAAAAAAAAAAAAAGAAACTGATGACTTCCTCCCTTTTTGGTGATCTAGCAGCCCTGGCACACAGTGTCTCTGAATCTAAAACACTTGTTTTGTCACGATATCTCCTGAAATGATACACTTAGGATTGGTAACTTAGTAAATGCACTAGTCTTATATTCATTGCAATAAAATGCTCTTGTACCAATGTTATTTTACAATATTACATTTCATTGCAGTAAATCAACAGAAATAGAAATTCTCAGCTGATTTGTATTACTTAAGAAACAATGAAATCTAATTTTAAACTTTTCTCATTATTTATAAAGGGAATTCATAAAATCCTTGCTAGGTTTGATGATAGGTACCACATTAAGGGTAGCATTTTATAATAACCTTTTCTCAAACATCATCTGTGGAAGTTAAGAGCCTCCAATGGGTTTTCTATAGAGTGTACATGATACCACACTCAGGCAGTTCACGGAGTGTAAGAAATATCTTAGTGCTTTGTCATCTGACATTTTAACCAAGAAAAAAA